ATCGCCCTCGGGGACCGACCGAGCACGCCACTGTACACGCCGTTGCAACAAATGCAGTTGCCGCACCGTTTAAAGGGCGCTGCTTTGCTTGCAACAGGCCGGGCCATCGCAAGAGCGAATGCCCAGAGGAGCTGAGGCGCCGAGGAGCAGAGCAGGGGAGGGAGTCTCAGAGGCAGGGAAACGCCAGCAGTCAGTAGAAGTTGGGCCAACTACTGACGAGACTGCCTGCTCGCCCAACCACACCGACCCTCACCGAGTCACAGTACCGATTCACGCCATCGATCGGGCTCGGATGAATAAGGAGGGTACAGCGACGGATTGCCCGGTACTGATCTACGGGAAAATACATGGAGCAGCAGTGAAGATTTTTATTGACGGGGGAGCAAGTCACAGTTTAGTTAATACCGCAACCGCACAGAAATTACAGTTAACACTTAACCGATGCTTACCTGAGATAGATGCACGCTTAGTCGACGGAACGCCACTAGCCATACGGGAAAAGGTGGAGCGAGTAAAAGTCCGCTGCGGAGGAAACTTCGGGTTTACACAGGAAATGCTCGCAACGACACTGGATGGGCACGACATTTTACTGGGACGTGATTGGCTGCGACGGTATAACCCGCGAATTGACTGGACGACGGGTAGCTGCACAGTGCGAAATAGTGGTAACCGGGTCGTCCTACCTCGCTGGCAGCCACCCGAGTCTTCGACGGTCCAGGTCAACGCCATCACGATGAAACGGGCTGTCGCTGCTGGAGGTGACGTGTACGCAGTGGATATAGCATTAGTGCAAGAAGAGGAGCTGCCGAGCGATTTTCAGAAACTATTGGCAGCTATACCACCCGAACTTCAGGCACTACTGAAACGATTCCCGGGTATCTTTCCGGATGACTTACCACAAGGGCTGCCACCTCAGCGGGCGCATGACCATAGGATCGAGTTAGAACCGGGGGCACAGCCAACTGTACAGCGCCAGTTCAGACTGACACAGCCCGAGCTCGACGAACTAAGGAAGCAGTTAGATTATCTGTTAGAGAAGCAGTTTATCCGACCGAGCTCGTCACCGTTCGCCGCACCGATACTGTTCACACCGAAAAAAGACGGAGGGTTTCGCATGTGCATCGACTACCGAGCGCTTAATAGGGTAACAGTCAAATCACGGTACCCCATCCCCCGCGCCGACGAACTGATCGACCAGTTACGAACCGCACGGGTATTTTCGAAAATAGACTTACGAGGAGGTTACCATCAGATTCGGGTCGAACCATCGGACTGCGCCAAGACAGCATTTATCGGACTGCGCCAAGACAGCATTTAGAACTAGGTACGGGTCACTCGAGTATACAGTGATGCCTTTCGGGCTGACCAACGCGCCCGCCACATTTCAAATGACCATGAACGAGGCGTTTAGGCCACTTTTAGATAAATGCGTGATAGTTTACCTTGACGACATTCTCGTTTACAGTCGGGACAAGCAGCAGCACTTAGTCGATCTCGAAGCAGTTTTTAAAATTTTAGCGGAACATCGGTTACTCACCAAGGGCTCCAAGTGCAAGTTTTTTCGGGACAGGCTAGAATTTTTAGGACACGTTATTTCGGAGGCTGGAGTTGAAATCGACCCTAAGATGCTGGATACTGTCAACGCGTGGCGTCCCCCGACGAACATCACGGAACTGCAGAGTTTTTTAGGGTTCGTTAATTACGTCCGTCGGTTCGTCCCCGACATGGCACGCTTAACAGCCCCACTCACAGATTTACTGCGTAAGGGGGTCGTTTTTACGTGGGGGGAGAAAGAGCATGCTGCCTTCTCTGCCCTGAAAACTGTTCTCTGTTCACCACCCGTCCTACGCATCGCTGACCCACATCGCCCCTTCGAAGTTGTTACAGACGCGAGCGACATCGCCATCGGAGCCGTACTATTACAGGACTTCGGCAACGGCCTCCAACCCATCGCCTACGAATCACGCAAACTGCATCCGCCTGAGCGAAATTACCCGATACACGACCGCGAAATGCTCGTGATCGTGCATGCATTCAAAGTGTGGCGCTGCTACTTGACCGGCGCAGACGTGACAGTACGGACAGACCATCGATCTCTACAGTACCTCCGTGCACAGCCCCACCTCAACCCACGACAGATTCGGTGGCTCGACTTCCTCGAGTCGAACTTCCATTATACGGTCACCTATAAAAAAGGAGCCTCCAATATCGCCGACGCACTGACCCGCCCCACTGCCCAGATCCATGCGATACTACTCACCCAGACCAGTCCGCTACTGACAGGACTATTTACCCACGGATATCAAACAGACCCATTCTTCACAGGAGGAAACTCGCAGCAATTCGCAGCAGCCAAGGGAGTCTATTACGTAAAAGCTGGAACCGACCGCATCTGGGTACCAGGGTACACACTACTACGGGAATTACTGTTACAGGAGGCACACGACGGAGTTACCTCGGGACATTTCGGAGTAGAGAAAACACGGCAGCAGCTGCAGCGGTACTATTACTGGCCTGAAATGTTGACCGACGTGCAACAACACGTGGCATCGTGTCCCACTTGCTAGCTCATGAAGTCAACCAGGAAGCGGCCGGCGGGACAATTACAACCAATCCCACCTCCAGAGCGTGCTTGGCAACAAGTGACGATGGACTTCGTCACGGGGTTACCAGCCGGGGCGAGTGGGAATGACGCGATCCTGGTCGTCGTCGATCGACTGACGAAAATGGCACACTTCGCAGCCTGCAAGAAAACAATCACAGCCGAGGAAACAGCCCGACTCTTCATCACCACCGTCGTTCGACTGCACGAGATACCAGCATCGATCATCAGCGACAGAGACACGAAGTTTACCAGCAATTTCTGGCGGAACCTGTGGCAGCAGTTTGGCACGCGACTACAATTCAGTTCATCGTATCACCCCGAAACCGACGGACAGACAGAACGGACAAACCAGACCATGGAGCAGCTCATTAGGGCCACGTGCGACGACCCAAACACGTGGGAGCAGCAGCTGCCACTCATCGAATTCGCATACAACAACGCGCCATCTGCCACGACCCAACAGTCGCCGTTTTACATGAATCACGGACAAGACCCCACAGTACCCATGACCCCAAATCCCGACAACCCCGTTCCACGTGCGCAACAATTTGCCGAGATTTTGCAAGCAGCACGGACCAGGGCAGCAGAAGCAATAAAAAAATCGAACATCATCGCTAAACGCAACGCCGACCGCCACCGCAGACCTGTCACTTATCAGCCCGACGACCTCGTTTTACTCGACACTCAAAACCTCCGCCTGCCCATCACTCCAAAACTCCGCCCCCGATACTGTGGGCCATTTCGAATTAGCCACATGATCACACCTGTCACCGCGCACCTCCTCCTCCCTGCTGACTGGTACGTCAGCTCCTCGTTCCACGTCAGCTTGCTTCGCCCTTACGTACCATCCACCGGCCAACTCCCACGACACCGACCATCCAGCATGGCACGACCACCATCCGAACCAATCATCACCCCCGACAAAATCCTGAGTCACAGAGTTCGCGACCCCCGAGGAGCCCGAAAGATCGAGTTCCTGATCCGCTGGAAAGACCGTACACCTACCGAGGACAACTGGGTTCCCCTGGACAGAATTGAAAACCACCCTGTCCTCACCGAATATCTGCGCAGCCGAAACTTCAAAGATGTCCACACACTTTCGTAAGAAGGACCTCCTTAGGAGGGGGGGGGTAGTGTAAGGAAAATCCATTACCGTTACCACTGTAGTTTCGCTATATATTCTTCGCTCACGCCCTCGCTCATTTTATTCTTGCTTAGATAGTGCAATTCTCGTTCGTTCACTCAATTGCACTCGTAACAGAACAGGTCCCGCAACAGGATCCTCACCAGTTGCCGTTATTGCCGGACGAGCGTTGATCACTTGCACCTAGCAACAGGAAAACCACCCTACCCTCATCCAGCCCAACCAATCGAAACTCAACCCATCCCAATCGAAACCATCCCAACCCAATCGAAACTCAACCCAACTCAATCGAAACCATCCCAACCCAATTGAAACTCAACCCATCCCAATCGAAACAATCCCAACCCAATCGAAACTCAACCCATCCCAATCGAAACCATCCCAACCCAATCGAAACTCAACCCAACCCAATCGAAACCATCCCAACCCAATTGAAACTCAACCCATCCCAACCCAATCGAAACTCAACCCATCCCAATCGAAACCATTCCAATCCAATCGAAACTCAACCCATCCCAATCGAAACCATCCCAACCCAATCGAAACTCAACCCATCCCAATCGAAACCATCCCAACCCAATCGAAACTCAACCCATCCCAATCGAAACCATCCCGACCCAATCCTCATCGTGCGTACCAGCGCGTGGCCTCAAAACTATCGTGTCCAACCCCTCACGAACTCGTCGCGCGTTGTGCGGAGCAATCATAGGAGCAATAACTGCGAGCTGAGTGAGCTGCTGGAATGAGGTGTCTTGGTCATTGCTGCTGCGATTCAGACGGCGGACTGCTCTCCCCCCCCACCCGCCGGACCCTCACTCTTCCAGGTTCGTCATTGGAGATGAGTCCCGCCAATCACAGCTCTCGAAATTCACCGAGCTGGCGATCTGGCGAAGTTCGAAATGGGCCGCCGCCAGCCACCATTATTGCCGCGCTGCCGTCTAACTCCGAATCGGAGTCCTGCGCAACACGCGGTGGTATTAGCATCACTGAGAACGTACTCACGGAGTGGCTGAAAGCGGTACCATTATGGTGGCGACCGACGCTCTCCCTCCACCAACCGCGCCTCCTCGTCTCTCCGTAGTCCTTAAACTGTCTCCGTTCCTGCCTTCACCATCACTTGACTAAATCTCTTCTCCCGGTGCTCGAAAATCACCGAAATCTGATCCCTAATTTTCGTTCGGGCCATCGTCAGCGATACTTTCGAAATCCGACGCTCCGACGCTCCGACGCACTCTGAACTCGCTCGTCACCATGGCCACTCTTCGCACCGTGTTCATCCTCGCCTTGGTCCTCGTCTCTATCCCCGCACTCTATGCCGCGTCCGCGCCAATGCGGGGCGGCGTCGCTACTGCTGGAAGCGCAGGCGTGGACGCGGCGAGTTGGGGCCGCAAGCTGCTGGACCAGCAGGGCGGCGAGGAGGAGGAGGTGGGGGAGATGACGGAGGACGGGCTGGACGAGGCGGTGCGGGTGCTGCTGAGCTGGAAGAAGTTCAAGAACGCGGTGAATCAGGCGGCGAAGAGCGAGGCGGGGCAGAAGGCGGGAGGGTTGGTGAAGAATGTGGTGAAGAAGGGCGGCAAGGAGGCGCTCACGGCTGCAGTCAACGCGTTCCGCAGCGGCAAGGGCGCCAAGGGTGCCCTGCAGGTGGGCGCTGGCTCGTTCGTCAAGACCGCGAAAACCATGATCTAAGGGGGAGATGGGAGGGGTGAGAGGCACGGCGGAGAGGAGTTGGGCAGCGGCTGGGCAGCGCAGCTGGTATGGTGCCTGCTGCTGCTGGTAGCAGCTCGGTGCAGTGGGGTTCTGCACGGTGCAGTGGGGTTCTGCACGGTGCAGTGGGGTTTTGCAGCGGCAGGCAAGGCACTCCATACGCTGCTTCTGCTGCTGCTGTTGCCTCCACTGCTGTCGGTGCTTCTGCCTGCTGCTGCTGCTGATGTGGCTTGCAAGTGGCACGGTTTGCAGAATCGGTTACTTAATACTTTCGTCTTAGTGATGCTGCTGGGAGAGGTATGTGTGTGTGATTGTGTGTGGGGGGGGTGGAGGGGTTAGGTGGTGTGTGTGTGGGTGAAAGGCTTAGGTGTGCTGTGCAGGGTTGATAGTGGATCTGGGTGCTGCTTTGGTTATCATGTAATCGCTGAAATATACCTGCTGCTACCGTGCTTTTGGTGAAGGCGTTGAAAGTTCGTATGGGGTTATGAAAAGAAACTTGCTGTTCTGAAACTTAAGGTGACACACATCAGGCACTCACCACACACAGGCACTCACCACACACAGGCACTCACCACACACAGGCACTCACCACACACACCAGGCACTCACCACACACACCAGGCACTCACCACACACGCCACAACTGTTGTGATTGTGAGAGCAGGTGGGAGCTGGTGGGAGCTGTTGTGATTCCACAACTTCCAGTTGCACCCGCGTCAGGCGCATGCTCCTTGCTTGACGCACTTCTCATGCATGTTCTTTCCCCAATACATCCCTCTCATGCCGTACCTTCCCTCACACCCTCTCTTCCCTCCCCCACAGCCCCTGCTAGTGAGCCACTGGAAGGGGGTAATTCACCCTGTGGAATCTCTTGCCACCCCTTTGCATCCCTGTGTCCGTCCTTGCCCTTCCACACCCCAAGCAGCCCCTTTCAGTGATGGTCGGGTTTCTGCAGGGCAACCCAGTGAGCCACTGGAGCGGGGGAGTCAACCTTGTGGAAGCCCCATTCACCGCTCTGCACCCCTGCATCCGGCCTTGCCTCTCCATGTTCCCAACAGCTGTTGCCAGTTATGATTTGCCTTGCACCTGCAAGGCAACCCAGTGAACCATTGGAGCGGGGGAGTCAACCTTTTGGAAGACCCATTCACCGCTCTGCACCCCTGCATCTGTCGTCGCCTCTCCACATTCCCAACAGCCGCTGCCAGTGAGGATCTGGCTCCTGCAGGGCAACTGAGTGAGCCATTGGGAGTCAACCTGTGGATGGCTCCTGCTGTGAAGCAAGGGGACATTCTTGGTGAGTGATGGATGGTTGAGTGGTCAGAGGGTGGGTGTAGTACGGTGGAGAAAGTGTGAGTGGGGTGGGATGAGACGAACGGGAGGCTGGAGAACCAAGGCCACTGGTGGTGAATCGGGGTCCACTGGGGCGGGGGAACCACTCCCCTTGCTGTCAAGCCAGGGGACATTGTCGGTTGAGTGAGATGGGTGGGTGGGATGGAGGGGTTGAGAGGGTTGGGTGGGTTGAATGGGAGGCTGGTAGGGTGCGCTTAGGCTGAACCAAGGGCGTGGGCAGGGAAACCACGCACTGGACTGTGGGTGTTAACCAGACTATACGTCCTCTCCCCCTCCCTCGTTCCCACTGACACCCTCCCTCTCTCGTTCCTATACACCCCCTCCCTCTCTCGTTCCTATACACCCCTTCCCTCCATCGTTCCTATACACCCCTACCTTCCCTCGTTCCTATACACCCCTGCCCACCCCCCCTCTTTCCCCCAAACCCAGATGTTTATTGAAGTTCTCCTGCCTCATATGGCTCACTCCGAATATCCTTCAGGTTTTGAAGCGTTTCAAGTCATGTTTCCTCTGCCCACTCTTCCTCTGTTTCCCTTTTTGCGGCCTTCCAGCGATTCGCCGGGACGCATGACGTGCAACGCTTCCGCAACTTCCTCGCCTTCTAAATCTGCTCCTTCTTCACCTCCAACCCCCCATCACCTTCCCCCCTTTTCCCCTCCATCCCCACATGTCTCTTCTGGCTCATTCCCTGTACCCTCTCCCTGCAGTGTTCTACCCTCTCCCAGCAGTGTTCTTCAGGTTTTGAGACACCTCAAGTCCGGTTTCCCTAGATTTACCACTCACCCCCCCCTGCCTTCCTTTTTCCTCTTCCCCCACTTCCAGTCGTCCAGTGGTTCACCGAGACGCACGACGTGCAGCGCTTCAAGAACATATTTGCCTCCAAGGCCTGCTCCTTCTTCAGCGCCATGCCGCTCACATCTGCCTCGCAGTTCGGCATGCGGCTCTTCCAAGTCAAGCCCGCCCATGCCGGCAAGACTGCTATTCCCGTTTGGGAGCAATGTGGGCAAGGACTGTCAGCGATGCTTCAAGATTGATATTCCCGTTAGCTAGAGGCAGTATACCAGAAGCACCCAAGAGCAAATTGTTACTACTAAGTGAATTCCAAGAATCTCCTTGCACTGCATGCACCCTTATGGATAGGCCGGTTGGCTTGACATCCATTTTTTCGGGGGCGGACATACTCTGTTTTTTTTTCTACATGACAAAGTAAATGGTATGGTATTCTGATACAGTATTATTACATGTTTCTTTCCACAGCCTCAATAATATTTCCACCAGAGAACATTATTGCCGCACAGCCGCCAGCCTTGGAGCTCTCTCGCACTGAGAGCTCTCAACCCAACCCAAACCAGCGTGACCCAACCCAATCCAGACCACACCGTGCGTATCTGCGTCTGCCCAAGCATGTCCATCCCATCCCCTCGCTAACTCCCTTGCGCTTTGTGCGGCGCCATGATCGAGCAATAACTGCGAGCCCCAGGAATGAGAGATCTAGGTTTCTGCCGCTTCAGTACAGACGACAAACTGTTCTCCCCCCACCGGACCCTCACTCTTCCAGTTTGTTATTCCAGACGAGTCGTTTTAGTCACAACTTTCGAAATTCACGAAGCTAGCGAGGCTCGTTAATGGACCGTCAGCCATTATTGCCGCGCTGCCGTCTAACTCCGAATCGGAGCCCAGCGCAACACGCGGTGGTATTAGCCTCACTGATATCGTACACACCAAGTTGTGCGGCATGTTGCGTGTTGTGCGGGGGCGCCATGCAACCCGCGAGCAGCTGAAAGTGGTACCATTATGGGTAACGATCAGCTAACGCTCTCCGTCCTCCACCCTCACCTCGACGTTTATCGTTAGTACTTAAACTGCCTCCGCTCCACCATTCACCATCACCCGACGGAGTTTCTTCTCTCGGTTTTCGCAAATTCACCCAAATCATCTCATCCTCATCATCGCTCGCAGTGCTACTCTCGAGAATCCATCGCGGCAGTAACCATGGCTACTCTTCGCACCGTGTTCATTCTCGCATTGGTCCTCGCAACACTTCCCGCACTCTACGCCGCGGCTGCGCCAAAGCAGCGGGGTGACGTTGCTGGGGGAAGCGCGGCCGTGGACGCGGCGAGTTGGGGCCGCAAGCTGCTGGAAGCGAGCGGCGGTAACCTGGACGTAGGTGGTGAGGAGGAGGAGGTGGGGGAGGCGACGGACGGGCTGGACGAGGCGGTGCGGGTGCTGCTGAGCTGGAAGAAGATCAAGAACGCGGCGAATCAGGCGGCGAAGAGCGAGGCAGGGCAGAAGGCGGGAGGGTTGGTGAAGAATGTGGTGAAGAAGGGCGGCAAGGAGGCGCTTATGGCTGCAGTCAACGCGTACCGCAGCGGCAAGGGCGCCAAGGGTGCCCTGCAGGCCGGCGCTGGCTCGTTCGTCAAGACCGCAAAAACGATAATTTAAGGGGGAGATGGGAGGTGCTGGTAGCAGCACGGTGCAGTGGGGTTCTGCAGCGGCAGGCAAGACACTCGATACGCTGCTTCTGCTTCTGGTAATGCCTCCACTGCTGTCGGTGCTTCTGTTGTTGCTGCGGTCCCTTGTGTCAATGCTGCTGCTGCTGATGCAGCCTGCAACTAACATGGTTTTCAGAATTGGTTGCGCATTAATTAAGGCTTCCTGATGCTGCTGAGAGAGGTAGTGTGTGTGTGTGTGTGGGTGGGAGGGGTTAGGTGTTGTGTGTGGGTGTGTGTGCATGGTTGGTCGTGGAACTGGGCGTGCCTTTGGTTATCCTGTAATTGCAAATATAATTGCTACTTCTGCTGAAGACGTTGAAGGGACCTGAGACAACTCAAGACCCTTGAATTTGGATCTGATGGAGGCACTTACCTGAATGCACTTAAAGCTGAAGTATACATTTGTCATCCAGGTTTTGGGTTTAGGGAGTCGCCTCACGGTCTCACGGGCAAAGTTTCAAATTTCAGAAGTTTTTGAACCCCTTCTGTCAAATGTATTCTAAAGCTTTAAGTAGAGTACCCATACTGTTAGGATTTCCAAATCCTTACTGAGGCACTCGTTAGCGAGGATCACGCGACGAAACCGTCTTGCCTATTTCGTCGCACCGAACCACCCCCGAGTCGGCATCCGCTCCAATCGCAACCATCACCCCCGAGTCGGCATCCGCTCCAATCGCAACCATCACCCCCCGCCTAGCTAGTTTGACCCCTATTTAGGCCTCCCTTCATTGTTTCTTCATTCAGTAATTCAGTAATTTCCATTCTCGTTATTCGTTTTACTGCGCACTCTGCAAATTGATTCATAACACATACCCCATTGTTTAAGGACATCATGAGCAACAACTCCTTTATCCCACTTATGGGTGCTCTATCTTCGGGTGTATACTTAGATTCTTTATATTTTTTATGCATGAAAATGTTGTCTTCTTGTACGCATGTGTTTACCGTTGAATTCTCATAAAATCGTTCCGAGCTTTTCGCGGTCCGGCCTTCCGCGGTTCGCCTCAGGGATTTTTTTCCCTACCATCCAATCGGAGCCGTTCATCTTACTGGCCTCAATTGCACCAATTTCGACTTCTCGAATTGACTGCACGAATGTCACCTTTGAGACACTGCTCCTCTCGCACTCCAATTCAAATGAGGAACTCAATCCAGAACAGCAACGCGGCCCCATGTCCCCACCCCAACACAGCCGCCTCGCCTGACTCCGCCCACCATGTTCGCGCAGCTTCTGTGAAGTTCACGGAGCCTGCTTCTTTCAAACACGCTGTTATGACTCGAGTTACGCTGATGGCGCGTCTTCCGTACTCGAACCCACAGCCTCCACAGAACCGACATTCTCATTCCGCGGGAAACCCTTGCAGCGCCACTGCTACGAGGCTGTCGGCAGCAGCTGCAGCCGACAGCGCTGGTGCTGGCGGTGGGGATTGAACCTAATCCCGCAAAGCGCCATGGCAAAAGAGTCAGCCTTGGTCGCCTGCTTGTTGCCTTGGAGTGTAGCCTTGTGTGGTCGAGCCGATCCGAAGCATGTAAATACTTCCTAACAACTGTTACTTGTACTTAGCTGCGAAAACACAAGCTACTGATTCCGCTACTAGCAACCGGGTCACGTCGTAGTCCATCGCTCTGACGCAGCGGTTTTCAAGCATCTCCTTTCGACTCCTCAAGCTTAAAGGCCCCATCAAGCTAAACTTCGACGTCAACAGAATTCGCCTCGACTAGTCTGAGTAGTCCACAATCATTGTCCAAAGCACACACTGGACCGGAACCATATTACCAAGTTACTGCGCTGAATTTCCTGGGTCGCGCCGCTGAATTCCTCGAACCACGGCGCTGACTCCTTCGAGTAACTCCTATCCCGAGGCTCTGCGTAGTGCTAACGGCAAGCACCATGAGGTCGACGCGCCTCGGGAGCCTGCGCGCACCTCTCACTGCGTTGTTTCTCGCCGTCGTGTGTGCAAGTGAGTTCCAAACATGCGTCATGAGTATGCTGTCGAAAATTGGTTTGTTTCATCTCGTTCATTTCGCACCGGGTTTTTCCGTACTGGAACCAACTCACAGAGTGTTTAGAACTACAGCGGCCAGAAGACACCGCTAGTGTGCTGCCTAACGTCGCGATTCCTGTAGTGTATGGCTGCATGCCGTCGCATGACTGGCGCAGGTCGCACCTGTGCTAATGAACTAACGTTCAGTCTGGGAAGAAATAACGCGGTAACGACTAAACGTTTCCTTTTCCACCCCACCCCCCCCCGCTGTTCCCACGTCCGCATTCCCCACTGCCCCCCCTTCCCACCGCGGATCTTCTCGTGCTCGACGCCGCCCCTGCCTGCATGAAGGCGTTGTTCCCGCACAGGTGAGACTCGACCTTCTGCAGTTCATACAAAAGTCGACTCGAAAGTTGTCGTTCCGGCCGTCCCGGTAACCACGTCTGGTAACCAGCGGTCAGACCGCCAGGCCGCAAGACGCGAATACGTCAGTCCGCAAGGTTGCACTTTTTCGAGAATGGGTCACTCGGGCGTTACATACGTTCTAGTTGCATTGCTGCGTTAGCGGGCCACTAGTTCTGGCGATTGACAGCATTGATCTGGACCGTCAACCAAATGTATCCATCCATGTCACCTCTCAGCCTCTTCTCCCACGACTGTCCTTCTATCGCTCTGTAATCCGCTGCGTCTTGACCATGCCACGTACTTCCCAGAATGTTAAAGAGCCACCCACAAGCACACGACTCACGTCTTGTCTGATTTCGTCCCTCGCTATCGCCCATCCCTTTTTCAGTCTCGACCAGTCATGGTGGGAGGCAGGTTGTCGACCAACCAAGCAGTCAGCCCGTGGGGATTGGGGGTTAGCGACTGGTCACCGCCTGCTGTGAGGCCAGGAGACCTCCTAGGTAAGAACTGTCGGATCCATCACGCTTTGCTAACATTAAAGTACGCTACCCACGAGTTCCAATTGCGTCTTATATCTCATGCTTGTATAGCGTATTTCAACAACGGCTAAGGTAATAAATCAGCTGCGAAGGTTGTGAATTATTTAAGTTCTCCGCACCTGCCAACATCTGTTCCTTCCCATCATCTCCTTCCTACCATCCTCCAGTGTTCAGATGGTTTGGAGAAACCCATGATGTGCAAAAGTTTGGCGACCCAGTAACCTACGGCCTCTGCAGCTTCTTCAACACGAAACAAATATCGCCTGCCCGCCCTGTTGGGGTGAGGACGTACAAAGTTAAGGCTAATGACAAGGGCAGGACCCTTCACTTCTCAAGCAGCGTGGGAAGTGATTGTGCAAATGGGGTTAAAGTTGCCATACGTGTAAGGTAGATGTTCTGTTCATATACGTGTGCATTAATTCCATCACATTATGTCATTATGGGAATCTATCAGAAGGTAACTGGCTGCGAAGACCCGGACTACATACTGCCGTATCATGAACGGAAGTATTATGAAAGGTGCCAAGACCCAGTGCGCGGTATGCGTTGGAGCTAGGTGGAAAACTGTAAGGAATTTTCTCGATATTCCTTAGCGCACCCTGCAACATCGCGTACAGCAGCAGCCTTTGTTCGCCCGTTACTGCTAACGGGGCTTCGCCGACTTCGCGCGCACTATTTCACCAAACCTCGCACTGCTGGCCTGGCCGCGTCGGCCTACGCTTTGGGACTAGCCCGAGCGCTTCCAGCGTAGCACTAGCTAGCTCGCACGCACCGCGTTACCGTTTGCATGTTTCGCGTATAAATGTTCGCTCATGCCTTCGCTCACATTTTGTACTCGTTTGATACCTTAGTGCAATTCTCGCTACTTCGATCCATTGCACCCGTAACACTTGGTATTCAGAGCCTCTTTCTTTTCGGGCCGCGCATCTCCGCACCCCAGGAAATCCACTTTTGATTTTTCACTCGAAGGGACTCACGTACCTTAGCACCTAGGAGCCGCTCTCCTCGCGTTCTCTCGTAAACGCATGCAGCCACGACTGCGCCTAGACTAAGACGAGCCGACGCCCTTCGAAATGGCTCAACATATCGACGTCACGACTCTCACGCAGGAGCACTTGAACGATCTGGTGCGACAAATCCGCGAGAGTGCCGAGGAAATCGCGACGCTGACGGCAGAACGCTCATCCCTGCAAAACGACCTCACACCGGCACAATCCCAAGCACCTGGCACTCCGATTCAGCCCGCACCACAAACATTACAGCACGGAAGTGTGGGGCAACCCACGAGCGCCGCAAGTGATGGCGTCGTCCGCCATGACGGAGACGACGACCACGGCACGAGACACCCCGACGCGACGAATGCGGCCAGGACTCAGCCTCGAGACACGATTTCAGTGCCGGCCGGCGAATCAGCTCTTCCGTCGCCGATGCCGCTAAAGCTGCAGCGTCCGCCATGCTTTGACCCAAGTCAGCGGGGTGGTCCTACCGTCCAGGCGTGGCTCTTCACGTTGAACGTTTTCTTCGACGCGAACTACGTCTCGGAGGATACTGAGAAGAAACGAGAATGAATGACTAAGGAATGAAAGTGATACAAGTATGCAACCCTAGAATTGTGTACCCCATATGGGCTACCCCACTACAGCCTACACAACATTATAATTTGACACACCCCCATAGGCAAAGTGGGGGAGAACAAGGGGTCACAAGACCAGTCAAGCAAAGCAAAGCAAGCTCAGGGTGGATCACAAAGTCACCACACATTCCGACCACAAGTTCAAGGCCACAAGGCCAGTTCACATGCAGGAGTACATATATATATATAAAAGGCTACACAAGCAAGAGCAGGTGTATATATATGCAACAATACAAGCAAGGTCAAGAGATGAGCAAGTGAGACAAGACAGGCACAAGACCAAGCTGAGTACAGAAACGCTGATGATCACAAGGCGCAAGTGCCTTGGTGAAGATATCAGCAGTGTTGGCCTCAGAGGCCACGTACGCAAGACGCAGCTGACCACGCT